AACCAACCTTCTCAAAGTCAAACCCCCCATCTTTTCCTACAGGAAAATGATCCCACTTAGCTCCAGCTAAACGGATGGAATCTGTTCTCTGAACATGCCTGTTTTTTTCTGGAGACAGGGTCAGTCTTCTGTCAGTCAGGAAACTGCTGAGATTACAGGCATGAGTCACTGCCTAGCCTGACATGCCTCTACCTTTTTTTTTTTTTTTTTTTTGAGATGGAGTCTCGCTCTGTCACCCAGGCTGGAGTGCAGTGGCATGATCTCGGCTCACTGCAACCTCTGCCTCCTGGGTTCAAGTGATTCTCCTGCTTCAGCCTCCCAAGTAGCTGAGACTACAGGCACCTGCAATCACACACAGCTAATTTTTTGTGTTTTTAGTAGAAATGGGGTTTCACCATGTTGGCCAGGCTGGTCTCGATCTCTTGACCTCGTGATCCACCCATCTCAGCCTCCCAAAGTGCTGAGATTACAAGTGTGAGCCACCGTGCCCAGCTAATTGTTGTAGAGACGGGTTTTCGCCATGTTGGCCAGACTGCTCTTAAATTTCTGGGGCTCAACTCATCTGCTCCCGTTGGGTTCCCAAAGTGCTGGGATTACAGGCGTGAGCCACTGTGCCTGGCAACCTACATTTTTTTGAGACGGAGTCTCGCTTTGTCACCCAGGCTGGAGTGCAGTGGCGTGATCTTGGCTCACTGCAAGCTCCACCTCCTGGGTTCACGCCATTCTCCTGACTCAGTCTCCGAGTAGCTGGGACTATAGGCGCACACCACCATGCCCGGCTAATTTTTTTTTTTGTATTTTTGGTAGAGATGGGTTTTCACTGTGTTAGCCAGGATGGTCTTGATCTCCTGACTTCGTGATCCACCCGCCTCGGCCTCCCAACGTGCTGGGATTATAGGCATGAGCCACCGGGCCCGGCATACAACCTACATTTTTAAAAGACACTCAGCCAGGCACAGTGGTTCACACCTGTAATCTCAGCACTTTGGGAGGCTGAGATGGGAGGATCACTCAAGGTCAGGAGTTTGAGACCAGCCTGGGCTCCTGAGACAGCTTCCAAAAATAAGAACCCACAACAACAAAAGAAAGACCAGCCTGGGTGACATAGTGAGACCCTTTCTCTAAAAAAAAATTTTTTTTAATTAGCCAGGTGTAGTGGTGCACACTTGTAGTCCCAGCTATGCAGGACCGAGGTGGGAGGATAGCTTGAGCCCAGAAATTCAAGGTCACAGTGAGCTAAAGTCACACCTCTGCATTCCAGCCTGGGTGGCATGGAGACCCTGCCTCTAAGTAATAATAATGACAATAAGATAACCTAGTGACTCTGCATCAGGGAGGCCTCGTTTGAAAAACTAGCCAAGTATTCGCTTCTTTGGGTCATACACATCTTTGCATGTCCTATTCCTAGAGAGACACATACACAAACATTCCAAAGAGTTTTAGGGGTCTTGGAGCTCAGATCAACACCTACCCTTATTTTATTATTATTATTATTTTTTGAGATGGAGTTTTACTTTTTTCTTTTTTTTTTTGAGACAGTCTTGCTCTGTGGTCCAGGCTGGAGTGCAGTGGTGCAATCTCGGCTCACTGCAACCTCTGCCTTCCGGGTTCATGCCATTCTCCTGCCTCAGCCTCCCAAGGAGCTGGGACGACAGGTACCTGCCACCTTGCCCAGCTAATTTTTTTGTATTTTTAATAGAGACGGGGTTTCACCATGTTAGCCAGGATGGTCTCAATCTCCTGACCTCATGATCTGCCTGCCTCGGCCCCCCGAAGTGCTGGGATTACAGGTGTGAGCCACTGCACCTGGTCCAAGACGGAGTTTCACTCTGGTCACCAAGGCTGGAGTGCAGTGGTGCAATCTTGGCTCACTGCAACCTCTACCTCCCTGGTTCAAGCAATTCTCATGCCTCAGCCTCCTGAGTAGCTGGGATTATAGGTACCCACCACCACGCCTGGCTAACTTTTGTATTTTTAGTAGAGACAGGATTTCTCCATGTTGGCCAGGCTGGTCTTGAACTCCTCACCTCAGGTGATCCACCTTCCTTGGCCTCCCAAAGTTCTGGGATTACAGGCGTGAGTGACTGTGCCTGGTCTCCTACCCTTAAATGGCCTGGACAGAAGAGGGATGGGCATGTGGCCATGGCCTTTACTTCTCACTCTGGCTGGCCACTTGGATGTGGCTTATTCTGTTGATGCAGACAAGCATATCCCCAATGCACAGTGAAGCCTAGGAAAGCCCCTTCCTGGCTTCAATTGCCTCTGGGGCTGACCCTCAAACACCTGAGGTAGCAGAGAGAAAAGGAGGCCCTACCTCTGGAGGAAATATCTGTGCCAAGAAACAAGGAGCTGGCTGGGCACGGTGGCTCACACCTGTAATCCCAGCACTTTGGGAGGCTGAGGCTTAGGGCAGATCACCTGTGGTCGGGAGTTTGAGAGCAGCCTGACCAACATGGAGAAATCCCGCCTCTACTAAAAAATTGCCCAGACCAGCTCGGTCGGGGAGACCCTAGCCCAGCAGCGCTAGAGGAATTAAAGATGCATACACAGAAATATAGAGGTGAGAAGTGGGAAATCAGGGGTGTCACAGCCTTCAGAGCTGAAAGCCCCAAACAGAGATGTATCCACATATTTATTAACAGCAAACCAGTCGTTAGCATTGTTTCTATAGATATTAAATTAACTAGAAGTATCCCTACGGGAAATGAAGGGAAGGGCTGAATTAAAGGAATAGGTTGGGCTAGTTAACTGCAGCAGGAATATGGCCTTAAGGCACAGATTGCCCATGCTATTGTTTGTGGTTTAAGAATGCCTTTAAGCGGTCTTCTGCCCTGGGCGGGCCAGGTGTTCCTTGCCCTCATTCCAGTACCCACAACCTTCCAGCACAGGTGTTAGGGCCATTATGAACATGTTACAGTGCTGCAGAGATTCTGTTTATGGTCAGTCTTGGGGCCAGTTCACAGCCAGATTTTGGGGGGCTTGTTCTCAACATGTCCCCCTTCTCTGATTTGCAAACGATAAAAGCAAGGGCAGCTTTGTCACGGTGAGCTACTTCTAGCAGGAGTCGGGATCCACATCTGCAGACTATACAAAGACAAACAACATAGATTAAAAGCACAGTCATCATTGAAATCACAGAGCTTTCAAGTGTTTTTATCCATTTTAATGGGTTACTAGCTGCTAATTTGTCTGCAGCTCCTTTGAGCATTCCAGTTCCTGGCATTAATGTCAGGTGTGCCTGGGATGCTTTAAATATTTGTTCTTTTAATTTTGCTATATCCAAAAACAAGTTTGCAGAGTATCGTTCTAGACACTTTTTTATTCTTTTCCAAATTTTAATCTTAAGAGCATTTAATAGCTTCCACAAATCCTTATGTTTAGCTCCTAGAGCAGGCCATATCATTTGAGGTTGAGGTGTCACTATACCACCATGGTTCCAGATAATAGGAACTTTTGCCGTACTTCTTATCATTTCTACCATCTGACAGTTTTGTTCAGATCATCTGAACATAGTGTGACCGTGGCACACAGACTGAGAGGTGCAATTTAAGCTAATCATCCCCTTAGGGGACTAATTAATAATGATTCCATAGGAATCATTGTGCAGCACCTCTGCCTGTTCTGCAAAGCAATCTTCCTAAACAAGTACGTTCATTTTTTCTAACTGGGTCCAATCCTGTTTACAAATAGGTTTTTGAGGGCGGTATGCCTCAATTATAGGAGCAGATTTATTATGGTAAATACTGAGATCAGAAAGCGTGTATAACTGTATCATAGAGTGATTGCATCCAGGCATTATTACCAGCCCTTATTGAAGCAATACTCATGGCAGTGGTGATAACCACTATCATAGCTACCATTAAATATTCTACATAGAGAAAAATGTAGCTAGAGCTTGGCTAGTATAGCCTGGGACATTATCTGTTTTAATAGAAGCTGGAATGCCCATCACCGCAACACACTGCAAAAGATAACATTTAACACAGGCAGAAGATTCTCCTGTTTGGCTTGTAGCCCACACAAAGTGAGAAAAGGTGCCCACACATACATGTACATAAGCTAGTCTCCCAAATGAGGGAACATGTGTGACATCCATTTGCCAAATAGAGTTAGGTTCCAGTCCTGGAGGATTAACTCCTTCTGTAAAAGATGAGGAATGTACCATTTGGCAAGTTAGGCATCGCTGGGTAATAGCTTCAGCTTCTTTCCAGGTAATGCCGTATCTGCGTTTGAGACCAGAGGCATTAACATGGGTTAAATTGTGAAAGTGTCTAGCATTAGATATTGCATTAACAACTAGGTGATCAGCCTTTTGATTTCCTTTAGTCAAAGGTCCTGGAAGAGGTATATGAGCTCTAATGTGAGTGATGTAAAAAGGGTGCATTCTACTCCTAACTGTTGTTTGCAATTGGGTAAATAAAGTCATCAGTTATTCATCTGTATGAAATCATAACTGAGCATTTTCATTAACTGTGTGGAGTGAATCACGTATGAAGAATCAGAAATCACATTAATAGGTATTTCAAAAGCAGTCAATACCTCAATTACAGTTACAAGCTCCACTTTTTGAGCTGAAGTATAGGACATCTGGAAAAACTTTTTGAGTCAAAATAAGAAGCTTTACCATTACTAGACCCATCTGTAAAACAGTGAAAACGCTTAGCAGGCTGCAGGTTGTTTACTGCAGGAATTGTAAATGCAAACCGTTCACAGTCTTGCTTAGCTAAAAGGAGAGTAAAGAAACAATCTTTTAAATCTATGACTACTAAAGGCCAGTTTTTTGGAATTACAGCAGGAGAAGGCAATCCTGGCTGTAATGCTCCCATAGGTTGTGTAACTGAATTGATGGCTCTTAAGTCAGTTAACATTCTCCATTTACCTGATTTTTTCTTAATTACAAAAACTGGAGAATTCCAAGGAGAAAATATTGGAGCTATGTGCCCATTTTCTAATTGTTCAGCAACTAATTTATCTAAAGCCTCCAGTTTTTCTTTACTTAGTGGCCATTGTTCTATCCAAATTGGCTTATCTGTTAACCATTTTAAAGGTATAGGTTCTGGAGGCTTAACAATGGCTGCCATCAAAAACTATTTCCTAATCTTTGGCGGGAACTTTGTTTGCCTGCTTGAATTGGTTCTTTCAAACCTTGCAAATTTTTTTCTAGTCCCATACCAGGGACATACTCCATTTCATGCATTGTATGTTGACTTTGAGGGTTATATAAATGCTCTGGAATTAGAACTTGTGCTCCCGATTGTTATAATAAATGTCTTCCCCATAAATTTATAGGTACAGAAGTTATAATTGGTTGAATAGTCCCAGGTTGTCTATCAGGCCCTTCACAATGCAAAATATAACTACTTTGATATACTTCAGCGGCTTTACCAACTCCAGCTATGTTAAATTGAGCAGGTTGAATTGGCCATGTGGATGGTCAGTGCTGTAGAGAAATGATTGAAATGTCCATTCCTGTATCTACCAAACTTTTAAATTTCTTTCCTTGAATAGTTATTTCACAGGTAGGACGTTTATCAGTAATTTGATTCACCCAATAAGCTGCTTTGCCTTGTTTATTTGTGCTTCCAAATCCTCCTGTTCATTTAATTTCACTTTTCCCAATTCCCACATATGGCACAATCAGGGGCTGTGCTATGCGCTCTCCTGGCTCTGCTTTCCAGGGAACAGAAGTAGGTGTAACAATTTGAATTTCCCCATTGTAATCTGAACCAATGACTCCTGTATGTATTTGTACCCCTTTTAAATTTACACTAGACCTTCCCAAAAGTCTGGTCTCTGCTGGCAAGGGTCCACAGACTCCTGTTGGGACCTTTTGCAGGGGTTCCCCAGGAAGAAAGCTCACAGCTTTTGTGCACCATAAATCTACTGTGGCACTACTGGCTGTGGTGGGGGACAGACATTGTACAGGGGTAAGGGAATGGCCTGAGCTGGAAATGCCCCGGTTTAGAATGGGGCCCGGGACGGGCCCCTCACGGCGTCTCCCGAAATCAGGTCCCCTTCTTTATCAAACTTAAGAGTGATGCTGACTAGCCCAATGTTTTCCTTTTTTACATTTTGGACATATTTCACGCTCAACAGTTTTCTTTTTTCCCCTATCTGGCAGCCTGACTCGCTGATTTTTTCTACATTCTTTTTTAGTATGACCATGCTTCCCACAGTTAAAACAAGCTCCTGGAAATGGAATATTTCCTTTATCCACTCTCAGTCCTGCCATTACCTGTGCCAACAAAGTAGCTTTATGCAGATTACCTCCAATACCATCACAGGCCTTGATATAATCAACTAAATGTGCTTTCCCGAATTTAAAAGGAAAAGGCTCAAATGTAGCTATATTTCCCTGTTGACCTGGGGGGTATATTCTAACAGGGAACTGCCAAGCCTCCAAATCACCCTCTAGTCTAGCTTGCTGAATTCCTGCCTGAATAGAACTAAGAGCGGTCGCTTGAGGCACTGCTCGAACAGTCACTGGGGCAACTACTTTTCGCCCAGTGTACTCCAGAAAAGAAAGATCTGGAGGGTCATTTTCTTCAAAATAATAAGAAAGATCTGGAGGGTGCAGAAGGGTAGGGATGAACCTCTCCTTCCTTTGCCACTTTAGCTTTAGCTGGTAAATAAACATGCTCTGTAACCTCTTGTGTTACTTCGCTCTACTGGTTCCTCCTCATTATCAGTGTGAAAAAGCTCCAAGGTGAAATGAACCAGACCCCATACCTGTCCCATTGTTACCCTGATGCTTCCAAGATCCCCTTCTTACTCACCAGGGGGATTGCTTTAAGAGTACTCGGGTGTCCTCCAGCTGGTTTTCTGTTCCAACTGTTGCTCCGGCAACCCTTCGACCTGGATTCGAGCCCCAACGATGGATGGCACTTGCCGAGACCAGCTCGGTTGGGGAGACCCTAACCCAGCAGCACTAGAGGAATTAAAGACACACACACACAGAAATATAGAAGTGTGTGGGAAATCAGGGATCTCACAACTTCCAGAGCTGAGAGCCCCAAACAGAGATTTACCCACGTATTTATTAACAGCAAACCAGTCATTAGCATTGTTTCTATAAATATTAAATTAACTGAAAGTATCCCTTATGGGAAACGAAGGGATGGGCCAATTTAAAGGAATAGGTTGGGCTAGTTAACTGCAGCAGGAACACGACCTTAAGGCACAGATCGCTCATGTGATTGATTGTGGCTTAAGAATGCCTTTAAGTGGTTTTCTGACCTGGGTGGGCCAGGTGTTCCTTGCCCTCATTCCCATAAACCCACAACCTTCCAGTACAGGCGTTAGGGCCGTTATGAACATGTTACAGTGCTGCAGAGATTTTGTTTATGTCCAGTTTTGGGGCCAGTTTATGGCCAGATTTTGGGAGGTTTGCTCCCAACAAAAAATACAAAATTAGCTAGGTGTGGTGGCACATCCCAGTTACTCAGGAGGCTGAGGCAGGAGAACTGCTTGAACCCAGGAGGCAGAGGATGCAGTGAGCCGAGATGATGCCATTGTACTCCAGCCTGGGCAACAAGAGTGAAACTCTGTCTTAAAAAAAAAAAAAAAGAAAAAAGAAAAGAAAAAGAAAGAAAAAAGAAATGAGGAGCTGAGAATGGGGTAAAAGAAAAAGAAAAGAAAAAAAAGAAATGAGGAGCTGAGAATGGGGTGGGGCTGAGGCTGAAGGGTTTCAGGACACTAAAAAAAAATTGATGAGATGTTGGAAAGTTGGGTCATGAAGGCAGGAAGCAGAGGAGTCAGGTCTGGTTTCCAGGCCCTAAATAAGCTTTACAAACTTCAAAGCACTCAGAGATCTCTAGGTAATAATCATGGCACCTTTAATTGGCAAGCTGAGGGCCCAGATCTGGCTGTCAGTCTGGGCTGGGAACTGGTGTTGCAAGTTGGGCCTCCCCGAGGCTGTGCTGAGGGTTAGGGGAGGGAACTGGGTTGCACACGGGGAATTAAAACCTGGTACAAAAGCCGGGCACAGTGGCTCACACCTGTAATGCCAGCACTTTGGAAGGCTGAGGTGGGAGGATCACGTGAGGTCAGGAAATGGAGACCAGCCTGACCAACATAGTGAAACCCCATCTCTACTAAAAATACAAAAAATAGCAGGGCACGGTGGCCCATGCCTGTAATCCCAGCACTTTGGGACGTCAAGGTAGGCAGATCACTTGGGGTCAGGAGTTCAAGACCAGCCTGGTCAACATGGTGAAACCCTGTCTCTACTAAAAATACAAAAATTAGTCGGGTGTGGTGGCGCACGCCTGTAATCCCAGCTACTCGGGAGGCCAAGACAGGAGAATCACTTGAACTCAGGAGGCAGAAGTTGCAGTGAGCCGAGATTGTGCCACTGTACTCCAGCCTGGGCATCAGAGAGAGACTCCATCTCAAAAAAACAACAACAAAAAACCCTGGTACAAAGGTATCTCCTACTGCCGAGGTGCCTCTTCTGACCCCAATATGCCCCTGTGATAAGGTGGCACACAAGTCAACCCGCCCCAGAAAAGCTGAAGGAGAGAGATTTTGGTGGGGTCGGGTTGGAGATGAGGTTGGAATAAAGTCAGTTCATTACTTCACTTGACACCTGAACAGTGTCTTTTCTCCAAAACTTCTACCTCCTTTCAGGTTGATAAATCTGGTTTCTTTCTCCCTGGGTAGGCCAGACACAGGGCTGAGCTGGGCGACAGGCAAAGGGGCACAGGCCAGCAGAGATCACAGGCCCTCGCTCTCCTCGGGGAGATGTCCTGACCAGGAGCAGGGCAGTGGCTGCCCATGGCTAGCCTCTGCCCACAAAGGAATTAGTGGTAGATGCAGAGCTTGGGGATACAAATGGATAGTCGCCCCTGGTTACAAACCTAACACCTGGTGTTCCTGGTCTACCCACCCCTACCCATGATGGTACAGAGGAAAAATGCAAGGTCTGTGTGCCTCGGGACTCTCCTTGTTGCCTGGATTCTGAATTGACCTGGTCTGTCACATGGCTGCTTTGTCAGAACTCATCTGGTACATGGGCTTCACTGATGCTGGGCTAGTCTGACCTCGTTCAGGTCAGGGCTGGGTGTTATCACAGGGAGGGGCAGATGCCTGCAGAACCCTGGCTGAGACACCAATGAAGGTCTCAGGAGTGACGGTGAAAGTCAGTAGTCAACTAAGAACCCTGGGGTCTCTGTGTGATCCTGGACAGGCTGCTTAGCCCTCCTTGGCCTCAGTGCCCCCAACTGCAAAAGCCTGGGAAAGTGAAGATCTCTTCCAGTTCAAAACTGTGATGAGGCCCTCCTGGCAGGGTCTAGGAGGGCTAAGAAGGCCTGAGGCATGTGGCTGTGGAGAAGGCATGTGGTCTCAGGGAGGCCCAAGGAAGACTGGAGGGAGCTCTCAAAACCTTCCCATTCAAAAACAGGAACTGCCTTTTGGCTGATGGCAGTCACACCCCTTGGTTTGGGATGAAAGGCAGTCCTGACTGCCTCTTCCTGACCAGGCTATCCTCTTTAACCAAGCGGCTTCTCTCAGCACTTATGAAGGTGCAATGAGTCAATGGAGGAGACAGTACTTTGTCAACCATAAAATGCAATACAAGCAAAGATCTAAAATAAAGCTGACTGACTTCTCTCCTGCCATCCTTTCTCTCCAACTCCGAAAACCTGAGTGCTACAGACCACTGTTTATAAACTCAAATGACCTTAGGAGCTCAGCAAGTCATATAAATGAGCGGGAAATGCCAGATGGAAAGGACTGTTTGGACAGAGACATGGGTCTAAGAAATACTTTCCTTTCTTCTTCGCTGTACTTTAAGATAAACACCAAAAACACTAAAAGCAAGCCATGATGAATGGCAGTGGTGCTTGGTCAGGAGCCCATGGGAGTGGTGGCGATGGGTGGCTGGGCCACTGTGAATTGTGAGTTCTGGCTCAGCTCCCAATAACTGTGGTTTTGTGGGAGCCTAGGTGGAGTTGCCAAATCTTTGGATTTTTCAAAAGATGCCAGAAAACCTGTATTTGGGTGCAAATTATCCTTTTCAATCTTCACCACTAACTCGTATCACTTAAAAACACTGCCTGGGCTCAGATCAATAAATACGACAACTGCAGGCCAGATCCAGTAGAGTCACAGGATTTTAACTTGGGCAGCAAAAAGACAGTGGAGGTGGTGAGTGCCTGTAGTCCCAACTACTTGGGAGGCTGAGGCAGGAGAATCGCTTGAACTCTGGAGGCGGAGGTTTCAGTGAGCTGAGATCGGGCTACTGCACTCCAGCCTGGGCAACAAGAGCAAAACCCCATCACACACACACACACACAAAGACAATGGAAGCCAGGCATGGTGGTGGCTCACGCCTGTAATCCCAGCAGTTTGGGAGCCCAAGATGGCAGGATTGCTTCAGCCCAGGAGTTTGAGACCAGCCTGGACGACAGTGAGAACCTCATCTCTATGTAAAATTTAAAACTTAGCTGGGTGTAGTGTTGCCCGCCTGTAGTCTCAGATATTTGGAAGGCTAAAGGGAGAGGATTCCTTGAGCACAGCAGGTTGACGCTACAGTTAGCCCTTTTCACACCACTGCACTCCAGCCTGGGTGACAGGCCAGGAAGCTGTCTCAAAAATAAATAAATAAATAAATAAATAAATAAATAAATAAATAGACAATAAGTATTGTGTTCTGGGAGGGTCACAAGAATAAAAAATAATTTAAAATTTTTTTAAAAAACAATGGGTAAAACAAGGTTCTCCTCTACCTCAGTGCTTTTAGCACCTCTGGGCTGAGAAACACCTTTTGGTTCCCCTTATGTAGGTCTGGGGGTTCTCACCTCAGCCCTGCCTCAGTAAAGGTGGCCTTCGAGACCCCTGGGCAGTTGAGAGCAAGGTGCTGGCAGAGGAGGCTGCTGAGGGTCCAAGATCAGGCTGTCCGCACCCCAGGGCCGGGTCTTGTAGATTCTGGGACCTCCCTGCAGGCCGCCGCAGAGGTTCGGGCCCCTGAGCCCATCTCGGGCCTCTGTAATGTCTAGTCACTTTTAAGGCCGTCACCCACACTCCTGGAATATCTCCGGGTACAGCTGGAAGCCCACGGGCGGTTCCAGATCTCCAGGGCCAGGGGTCAGGGTCACAGGCAGACCCCCGGTGACCCGGCCCTTGTGGCCCCTGGCCCCGGGCCTATGAACCCACTGGTGCTTGGCCACGGCTGATTTCTGGCCGAAGCAGCGGCCACACTGCGGGCAGGGGTAGGGCTTCTCGCCGCTGTGGGTGCGCCTGTGGGCTGCCATCTCTGAGCTCTGGCGGAAGCAGCGTCCGCAGTCCGGGCACGGGTAGGGCTTCTCGCCGGTGTGGGTGCGCACGTGGCGCCGTAGGTCCGAGGGGTAGGCGAAGGCGCGGCCACAGTCCGGGCAGGGGAAGGGGGTCTCGCCGCTGTGCACACGCCGGTGCTGGTAGAGGGCAGAGCTCTGGCTGAAGCGGCGGCCACAGTCGGCGCAGCCATAGGGCTTCTCGCCGGTGTGGACGCGCAGGTGCGAAGTCAGTGCTGAGCGCTGCGTGAAGGCCCGGCCACACTCGGGACAGCGGTGAGGCCGCTCCCCGCGATGGATGGCCCGGTGTTTGCTCAGGGAGGAAGCGTGGCCGAAACCCTTGCCGCAGTCAGTGCAGTGGAAGGGTTTCTCGCCAGTGTGGCTGTAGACGTGCTCCACCAGTGTGGAGCGCCAGGCGAAGCTCTTCCCGCACACGTAGCAGCCGTGACGCTGGTCCGCTCGGGGGACAGGGGGGTGGGCACAGAGTGAGGGGCGTCCTCGGTGCGGTGCCTTGGACGGCTGCTCCCAAACATAAGGGGGCCCGGCCGAGGGGTCTTGGGGAGCCTTCAGTCCAGGAGACCCGGTGGCCACAGGGACAGGCTTCTCCAGGGCTCCCATCCCTTCCCTTTGTCTTTCCTCTTCCTTGTTTCTGGAATCTGCTGGGAGATAAAGACGGGACAGTTCAGGCTCGGCTCATCCTGGTCCTTGAATCCCACAGCCCGCGTGGGCAGGGACAGGCCCGCTGGACCCCCGGCTGCCCCTGGGAGATGGAGGAGTGACACCTGTTCCTCGGCTGCTGAGCCAGACAGAGCCGGGAGGGAGAGAAGGAACAGTCCACTCGGCCTCGGGGCTGGGGAAATGTCACTGCAGGGGAAGGGCAGAGATGACATGAACATCTAGGCCTGATCCAGAAGGAGGAGCGGACACCTAAGGATGTTCCAGGCATCAGGAACAGCACCAAGAAAGGCAGAACCAGGCGGGCATGGCCAATTTCAGTGGGGCTGGACACTCCGCAAAGGCTGAGGGCAAGAAATGAAGGAAAAAAAGGGGGGCGGGCGGGGAGAGAGGAACCAGCCCGCAGGTGAACGGCAGGGGTGGGTCCTGAGGTGGAGATAGAGTCAACAGAGCTTAAGAGACTGGGCCTGGGGGCTAAAGGCGGTAATCCCAGCGCATTCGGAGGCAGAGAAGGAGCATCAGTCTAGGATTTCAGGACCAGCCTGGGCAACACACCGAGACCCAGGACCCCCCTCTAAAATATATTACATAACAATTTTAAAAAATTAGGCCAGGCGCAGTGGGTCACTTTGGGAGTCCGAGGCAGGCGGACCACTTGACCCCAGGAGTTCTAGACCAGCCTGGGTGACATAGGGAAACCCTGTCTCTACTAAAAATACAAAAAATTGGCCGGGCGCCATGGCTCATGCCTGTAATCCCAGCACTTTAGGAGGCCAAGGCGGACGGATCACAAGGTCAGGAGATAGAGACCAGCCTGGGTGATATAGTGAAACCCCGTCTCTACTAAAAATACAAAAACAAAATTAGCCGGGCGTGGTGGCGGGTGCCTATAGTCCCACCTACTCGGGAGGCTGAGGCTGGAGAATGGCGTGAACCCAGGAGGCGGAGCTTGCAGTGAGCCCATATCGTGCCACAGCACTCCAGCCTGGGCGACAGAGCGAGACTCCGTCTCAAAATAAATAAATAAATAAAATAAAAATAAAAAATTACTGAGGCGTGGTGGTGGGCACCTGTAATCCCAGCTACTTGGGAGGCTGAGGCAGAAGAATTACTTGAAACTGGGAGGGGGAGGTTGCAGTGAGCTCAGATGGCGCCACTGCACTCCAGCCTGGGCAACAGAGCAAAACTTTGTCTTTAAAAAAAAAAAAAAAAATTACCCAGGCTTCGTGGCGAGCACCTGCACAGTCTTAGCTGCTCTGGAGGTCCAGGCGGGAGGACTGCTTGAGCCTGGGAGTTCCAGGCTACAGTGAGCTATGATGCTGCCACTGCACTCAGCCTAGGCAACAGAGCGAGACACTGTCTCTAAAACAAAAACACCAAAAAAAAGCCCCAAGAGTGTAGTCACCACGCAGAGGTGAGGACTCAGGGGCAGGTTATGGCCCGGCCAGAACCCCATCACTGCTCCTTTCTAGGCTGCATCCGGAGCCAGGCAGCAGCTCAGCCTCGTGGTTGCAGTTGAGAAGGCAGTTCAGAGAGGAAACTGCTAAGCAGGTAGCTGGAGGTGGCAGAGGATACCGGGATGGGACGGGAACAGAGAAGTCCCCATGGGACCTAGCACCTGATACTCCACCTGGGTCCGCTTCTGTCGGACACTTGGTCACCTCCGGATCCCGGGCAGCTGGGCCCCACAGTTCGGCCTCCTCCTCCACCCAGGAGATGAGAGCTGGCTTGTTGCCTCCGATTCCTAGGGGAGAAGAACGGAAACCCCACACTGAGGGGACGCCGCCTGCCTGGCCCCGGGGACCCCAACTCCACGCGCAGCTCCCAGAGGCGCGGCAGGGCCTGTGGGGGCGCAGGGCCCAGGTGAGCAGGTGGGGCTCTCACCGAGCGCGCTCAGGTGGCCGTAGGTCTCCCGCATCACGTCCCGGTACAGGGCCCTCTGTGCTGGTCGCAAGCAGCCCCACTCCTCCCGGCAGAAGTACACGGCCACGTCCGCGAAGCTCACAACCCCCGGCTCCCTCCACTCGGGTCCGACCCTGTTTGGGTCCCGGGGAGGGAGCGGGGCCAGAGGCGGCGCCATGGTGACTGTCAACCCCGACTACGGCTCGGCTGCCTCCCCTTGGCCTGGCCTGGGCCTACGGAACCTCCTGCGTCCGAGAAAGCCTACCCAGCCAGGCCCAAGGGAAGGAAGAAGGTCACTAGGGCCCCTGAGGGCGCACTAGAGAGCATGGAAACTAACGGTGCCAATGGCAGCGGGTGTATAATCAGAAATGGAATATGCCCTCATAAAAAATGGCGGCAGTGCGGGTACTCGACCTTTGCCCCTACGCAATCGTGCCCCAGACAACGCCCCCGGTATCTCCAGGTCGCGTTCTCTCCGTACCCTCATCCAAAATGGCCGCGGTGACTACAGGGGCCGGCCTTGAAAATTAGCGGCGTTTGTTTAGTCCCGGCCCAGCGAGGCAGTGCAGCAGAGAGCTCCGCCCCGGTCTGCAAGAACAAGAAACCGCCTCGTGGGAGGGAGCTGGCCTCTCGGTATTACTGAATTCAGGCATTAGTTTTCGTCTCTGGACCGTTTTATAATTGGTATCCAGCTCATCACTCTCTCGTTTTGTCCTTGTTATCTCAGAAACAGGGCGACAGCAGTCTCTTCCTAATGTTGAGTGTAAAAACCAATGGAGTGGGCGTGGCGCAGTGGCTCACGCTTGTAATCAGCAGTTTGGGAGGCCGAGGCCAGAGGAACTGAGCTCAGGAGTTCGAGACCAGCCTCACCAACATGGTGAAACCCCGTCTCCACTAAATAATCCAAGTTACTGGGGAGGCTGAGGCAGGAGAATCGCTTGAACGCGGAAGGCGGAGTTTGCAGTGGGCCAAGATTGCGCCACGGCACTCCAGCCTGGGCGACAGAGCGAAACTCCGACTCAAAAATAAAAAGGAAAGAAAGAAAAAGGAGTGGATACAGGAGAGCCTCCTCTCTTGTAGGCTTCTTGGAGCCTGAAATTCTGGAATCTTCCTGATGGCAGAGGCAGTGGGGAAAGTAGGGTAAGGTTGAGAAAGTCAGAGGGTCCTCTCTTCTAGGAGCCTCTCCCATTTACTGTGCAGGACGTCTCCGAATCGCCGGTCTCCCTCTAGCTGCAGCCGGGCTCTCAGCTCCCCTCACATCCTGCCCCTGGGCGGATGGCCCAAGGCTCCTCTGCTCAAACCCAACTCATCCCTTTCTTGCCCCAAACTGCCTCCCCTGGGGTCTTTATCTCAGTAAATGTTGCCAACTCTCCCCCAGACCTCCCTCTCACTTCCTGATGACCTATTGTGTGCTCCATTTGACTTCATACATGTCCTGTTGTAGCAGGAGGTGCAGACAAAACCCCTCAGACACCAAGTTAAAGAAGGAAGGGCTTTATTCGGCTGGGAGCATCAGCAAGACCCACTAATCAAAAACCAAGCTCCCGGAGTGAGCAATTCCTCTCCCATTTAAGGGCTCACAACTCTAAGAGGGTCCCCGTGAGAAGGTCATGATCAATTGAGCAAGCAGTGGGTATGTGACTGGGGGCTGCATGCACCGGTAATTAGAATGGAACAGAACAGGACAGGGATTTTCACAGTGCTTTTCTATATAATGTCTGTAATCTATAGATAACATAACTGATTAGGTCACGGGTCAATCTTTAACTACCAGGCCCAGGGTGTGGCGCTGGGCTGTATGCTTGTGGGTTTCATTTCTGCCTTTTAGTTTTTACTTCTTCTTTCTTTGGAGGCAGAAATTGGGCATAAGACAGTATGAGGGGTGGTCTCCTCCCTTACTGTGTATGGGAGTAAGAGTCGCCTCCAACCGCCTTTTAGCTCTTAGTGGGCTCTTTAGTTGAATCTAGGCCCAGATTGAGAATCGCTTGTAATCCTAGCTACTGGGAGGCAAAGGCAGGAGGATCCCTTGAGCCCAGGAGTATGAGATCAGCCTGGGCAAGTTAGTGAAACCCTATCTTCAAAAATAAATACATAAATAAAAAATAAAGTAAAATAAAAAATGAATTGACAGTGGACAAACGAGAAAATTATACAAATTGTATTAGTTTTACATGTACATGGGGAGCTTCACAAGAGAGGGAAGTCAGAAAAAGTGCCCAAAGCCAAGTGCTTTTATGTTTCTTAGACAAAGAACAATAAAATTTAAGTGGGCAGATGTGGTGGCTCATGCCTGTAATCCCATCACTTTGGGAGGCCGAGGTGGGTGGATCACTTGAGGTCAGGAAACCCCGTGCTTACTAATAATAATTTTAAAAAGGTTAGCTGGTGGGGGTGGTGGTGGGTGCCTGTAATCCCAGCTACTCAGGAGGCTGAGGCAGGAGACTCACTTGAACCTGGGAGGCAGAGGTGGCAGTGAGCCGAGATCACGCCACTACACTCCAGCCTGGGTGGGAGAGAGACTTCGTTTGAAAAAAAAGAAGAGGGCCAGCCCGGTGGCTCACACCTGTAATCCCAGCACTTTGGGAGGCCGAGGCGGGCGGATCACGAGTGGTCAAGAGATCGAGACCATCCTGGCCAACATGGTGAAACCCTATCTCTACTGAAAATATAAAAATTAGCCAGGCGTGGTGGCGCGTGCCTGTAGTCCCACCTACTTAGGAGGCTGAGGTAGGAGAAGAGCCTGAACCCGGCAGGCAGAGGTTGTAGCCAGCTGAGATCCTGCCACTGCACTCCAGCCTGGGCTACAGAGCGAGACTCTGTCTCAAAAGAAAGAAGGAATAAAAGGAAAATATAAATGACAGGACAAAGAAAATTTGGCTAGGGCAGTGAGTAGCTAGAATATGTATGGGGGGGTGTCAAGTAGGTGCAACATACAGATTACTTTGTTAGGTATGTTTATTCTGGTCCCTTGTGGCCTCTGAGGGCTGTTTTCTTGCCCTGGTACAGAAGGATACTCCCCCAGAGTAAGGTTTCTGGCATGCTGCATGCAGAAGAAACAGGTCGGATTGCTCCGTCTGAAACTACAATTTCTCTGTTTTTAACTCAGAATATATCAGTATACCAGGCTGTGAAAGTTTTACAGGAGGTCCGGGGGAGGCCCTGTGGAGGAGCCTGGAGGGATGGCGGGGATCTCAAGAAACGGGTTAATAAGTGAGGAGAGCCACTTCTTTCCCTTTTCGGGGATCCAGGTGAGGCGGGCGCCGCTGAGCGCGGCATCGCGTCCCGGATCCGGACGCAAACATCCCTATACCGCAGACACCGCCACTGCGCCAGGAAGAGGCAGTCCGCCGTTTCCGCAGAGCTCTCGGCCCGCGGACTCTTTCCCAGTCTCCGTCCCTTCCGCCTTCCCAGGTTCATTAGCTTGGAGCCATGAGCGCGGCCAGTGGCTGGGCGGCTCCTGGAGGGACACTGGGAATTTGCCCTGGGAGTGGGGTGCAGGGGGCTCCACGGACGCCTCGACGACCGGAAGTAGCTTCGGGTGGGGCCTAGAGAGGACGGCGAGCAACTCCATGGTTCCGGAGTCCAGAAAAATGAAGGCCCTCTTAGAAGAGATGGCTGTCGATAGTCCAGCTTCTCTTCATTTTAGAGAAAGGCATTGAACAGTTTGAATATCGATCTGGTGTTGCTGACCTGGTTTGTTCCTGCTGGGAACGTGTCCTCTTGCTGTTCCTCTCAGGCGGCCTTGGCAGCGCCTCTTGCCGTAGTTAAGATGGGTGCAGCCGCTTCGACCTGGGCTCAGGCAGTTGTCAGCAAGGGCTGCAGGGGAGGGGAAACCGGTCCAAGATTCTCGACCAAGGGCCTGACGTCCGCTTCCCAGTCCCTTAGAGGAGGCCCTTCGAGGAGGCCCACTCAGTGACCCAGTCTTTATTTTATTATTGTTTTATTTATTATATTTTCAATTTTTTCTATTCTATTCCACTCTACACTCTCTCGCTCTCTCTTTTTCTTTTGTCTTTTTTTTCTTTTTTTCGAGACAGAGTTTAGCTCTTGTTGTCCAGGCTGGAGTGCAGTGGCGCGATCTTGACTCACTGCAACCTCCGCCTCCCGGGTTCAAGCAATTCTTCTGCCTCAGCCTCTTGAGTAGCTGGGAATACGGCGCCTGCCGCCATGCCCGGCTAATTTTTTGTATCTTTAGTAGAGACGGGGTTTCACCATGTTGGCGAAGCTGGTCTCGAGCTCCTGACCTCAGGAGATCCACCTACCTGGGCCTCCCAGAGTGCTGGGATTACAGGCATAAGCCACTGCACCTGGCCTCTACTCTCTGCTCTTGAGAGGGAGTCTTGCTCTTGTCCCCCAGGCTAGAGTGCAATGGCGCGATCTCAGCTCACTGACCCCAGAAGCCAGGCTGGAATGCCTCAAATTATTGAAGGCAAAACCTCATCAACTACAGAGGTGGGATTTTAAGCTAGGTTACCACACTGCCATATAAATGTAAAGAGGATAAATATACACTTTGAGAGGCTGAGGCAGGCAGATAACTTGAGGTCAGGAGTTCGAGACCAGCCTGACCAAAATGATGAAACCATGTCTCTACTAAAAATACAAAAATTAGATGGGCATGGTGGCATGTGTCTATAGTACCAGCTACTCAGGACACTGAGGCAGGAGAATCGCTTCACCCTGGGAGGCAGAGGTTGCAGTGAGCGGAGATTGCACACTGCACTCCAGCCTGGGCCACAGAGTGAGACTCCATCTCAAAAAACAATAATAATAAATAAGGCCAGGCACGGTGGGTCACGCCTGTAATCCTAGCACTTTGGGAGGCCGAGGCCAGTGGATCACCTGAGGTTGGGAGTTTGAGACCAGCCTGAGGAATATGATGAAACCCCGTCTATACGAAAAAGACGAAAATTTTTTTCGGACATTGTGGCATGCACCTGTTATCCCAGCCACTCAGGAGGCTGAGACAGGAGAATTGCTTGAACCTAGGAGGCGGAGGTTGCAGTGAGCCGAGATTGTGCCATTGCACTCCAGCCTGGGCAACAAGAGTGAAACTCAGTCTCTAAATAAATAAATATAAAGAAGAAAAATATAAATGACAGACGATGGTAAGTACTAAACATAAGTAAGAAGGTTGTTTAGAGGTCATGTAATGGGGGGTCGTTCAGGTATCTAGGAAGTGTGTGAAATTGCCCAGGATGGGTGACAGGCATTTGACAAACGGTTCCCTGTAGCATCTCTCACCGCTGTCCCCTGTTGCTCAGTCCCTTGCTGAGTTAGGCCGGGGGCCTCCTAGCTGCCCTGTGGGCCTCCAGCCTTTTGCCTTTGCCATCCATCTGTCATTGCAGCCTGGTGTAGTGTAAACAGGAAGGGCAGTGCCTGAGAAATAGGAGATTTGGGTTCCAGGTCTACTTCTGCCACTGACTCAGCTTCATGATCTTAATTATGTCCCCTCCTTGGGTCAGGTGCTGTGGCTCATG